CCTGCCCCCAGGCCCGCGTGCCAGACGGCGGTTCGCTTGTCCCAGAAGCCTCGCTGCTCCCACCCGCAGCCCTGTCGAGGGGGGACTGGGAGGCCCCTGACCACCGTGTTCACCCTGAGCACGTTCCCAGGATTTTGAACTGAATTTTAAAAAGGGGGGAGGCTGGTTTTTATAAATAAAAAATTTAAAAAGTGGGGGTTCTGGGGGGGGCGCTTGAGCTTGGAGCCGGCGCTGCGTCTGTCGGGCCGGAGACGCGTTTGCGTAGAAACTAACACTCGGAAGCGGCTTCCTCGAGTGCAAATACCTCCTGGGCTGTGATGTCTGATCCCCAAAGAGAGGGTCCTTCCTGCCTTTGAAGGGGTGTTCCCCTCAGATAACACAGTGGGGGCCGTTGGACTAGAAACCCCGTCTTCCTCAGCCCAGAGCCACGGGGCCCGTTAAACCCCCTTGAGTCGGGTAAAACCAGGGCTGAAGCACAGCGCTTGACCTTTTAGAAAAATAAGTCTCGACATAGACATTTATGCTGTGCCCTTGAGAAGAGGCCCTTCTGCAATACGGGGGGGTGCGGGGGGGGCACTTTGCTGAATTCCGTCTGCGGGGCAGGTTGAGGGAAACCGGCCGAGGGAGTGAGCTGCCCGGGCGCCCCCGGGGCCGGCGTCCCCACGCGGGATGCCCGTTCTCTCGTCCCGGTGCCCCGCGCTGACCCCCCCTCCCCGGCCCTCCTAGGAGTACATCGCCAAGCAGTTCGGCTTCATGCAGAAGCAGATCGGCTACGACGTGCTGGCGGAGGACACCATCACCGCCCTGCTGCACAACAACCGGAAGCTGCTGGAGAAGCACATCACGGCGGCCGAGATCGACACCTTCGTCAGCCTCGTGCGCAAGAACCGGGAGCCCAGGTGCGGCCGGGCCGAGGGGCGTGTGCGGGAGGCGTGGGCCCGCGGTGGTCACGGCGCTGTGCCCGGCGTTCCCTTCATCAGGGCCGGGGTCCAGCGCACCCGGCTGCATCGTGGGGAGAACGTGGTGCTGGGAGGCGGCCTGGCAGCCAGCGGGGGGCCCTGGGCACCCTCCGAGCTGGAAGGTCTTCTGCTGACGGGGGTGTGGGGTGGGGGTGGCTGTGGAAACTCCATGGGGATGGAAACTCGATGGGGACAGTGCACGAAGTACCGGCCGGAGTCGGTGCTCAGCCGTGACCTGCTGGCCTGTCAGTCACCGTTAGCACCCGGTTACCGGTCCGAGCCCCTCCCAGTCGCACCAGCAGAGTCTTTGCGAGCTCGGCTGCCCCTTGAGTGTTTCTAGCTGCATCTTGTCCCTGTGGAATCCCGTCTCCTCCCACTGCTCTCCCCTCCCCACCCTCGTCCCTCCTCTCCCTCCGGTGAGAGCCACTCACCAGCGACGTGTGAGAGTGCAGGGTGGGCGTCACACCCGGTCCCCCGCACAGCTGAGCGTGTTGTTGAAGAATGACTCCTCCCATCCATAAAAATAACAGTTTTTAAAGATATTTTTGTTGATTTCAGAGAGGAAGGGAGTGGGAGAGAGAGAGAGAGAAACATCAAAGATGAGAGAGAATCATGGATCGGCTGCCTCCTGCACGCCCCCCACTGGGGATTGAGCCTGCAACCCGGGCATGTGCCCTGACAGGGAATCGAACCGTGACCTCCTGGTTCATAGGTCAACGCTCAGCCACTGAGCCGTGCTGGTCGGGCAAAAAACATTTTACGGAGCATTCTCCTGGGCCAGGGAGTGAGCCGATCACACATTTCACACGCGTTACCGCAGTGAATCACCCTCTGAGGTCACACGTTACACTTTCCTGTGGACGGGGAAACCGAGGCACCGAGAGGCGAAGTAATGTCCCTGGGTGACGGTACAAACCAGGACGGAGCGAATAAGAATCGCGCTGGGGGTGCGCTCAGCGCCTCATCCCCACCACCCCGGGAACCACTCTTCCCTCCGTCCTCCTCCCTGGTGGCGACACTGGCACCCAGACCTGAGATCTCACCTCTCCGGCCACCGTGTGTCAGACCTGTCCCCCGAGAGAGTCGGGCCCCCCGAGCCGCACCCCGCTCCGTGCACAGGACACACTTGTCGCTCCCTCTCTCCCGCAGGTTCTTAGACTACCTGTCCGACCTGTGTGTGTCCATGAACAAGTCCATCCCGGTGACCCAGGAGCTCATCTGCAAAGCGGTGCTCAACCCAACCAACGCCGACATCCTGATCGAGACCAAGTGCGTGGGAGGCGGAGGCCACTGGCTCCGGGGGGGCCTGCACGTGTGGGCGGGAGAGCCGAACCCCCGATGCTGCGGACTGGTGTGCAGTGGGCCCAGCCTGTGAAAGCCGAGACCTGCACAGCTAGGGTTCAGGACCTGGAGAAGGGCTGCGCACAAATGAAGAGACTAGACAAGAAACATGAATTTGGAAATCATGGGGGGCCAGGCAGAGTCTTTCTCTAGCGGAAAGGCTTCACTGGTGCCCAGGCCCTGTTAGCTCTTTATTTAATTTTAGATACACATCTTGCCCTAGGTCAGGCAGGCAATCTGGTAGCAGACAGACTATCTTAAAGGTCAGTAAATATTAGTAAAGATTTACTTTGAGACTATTAGGTAAGGAAATTGCTTGAGCCACCATTGTCTGGACAGAACAATCGGTGCATCGCTTTAGCCCTTGCCAAAGCTCAAGGTCCATCAGCCTTCTGGGTTCCCTGTTTGCACTTTCATAGTAGTGTAGACAGTGGATAGCTTCCAGCACCAGCCCACTGGGCACGCGGTGGCACTTTACACGCCGCTTTCACAGTAACGCGAGCTCACCCGAGGGCATTCGACACACGCCTGGTTTAATCTTAAGAGTTGGAAGTCCTCGGCATATAATCGCCCATTTTAAATGTCAGAGGAGGCGACAGTTCGGTGTCGATAGAAATCCGTGTTGGGAAAGGTGTTTAAGTGACCACTGTTCACAAAGGGCTCAGTGGTCCAGAGGCGTTGGGTTAATAGCAGTGACTCGCTGTTGGGAAGGAGCGTTTCCCCGAGAACTATAGGGCCAGTAATGTGGACAAGTTGTGTGTTAAATCCCAAAACTGAGTTATGCCCCGAATCAGTGATTTCTGTTTGTTTGCTGCTCATGCTTAACTTAATGTTGGGTTTGGGCGAATGCCGGGCTTGCCACCTTGGCATTTTCCCGTTGAGGCCGAATAATTACTGTGGGGTCGGTCCGTGCTGGTGGGGTGTTAGCATCCCTGCCTCCCCCTCGGGGAGCCCGTGGTGCCTCCTCCCCCTCAGGCATCACAGGTCACCTGGCTGGGAGCCACTGGGGTCAAGTATGTGCAGAAACTAGTGTTCGGCCCTTTGTGGTTCTGCCACGGGGGAGGAGGTGCTTTCTGGGTCGTCTCGTGAAGCCCCGAGCCACGGCCTCGCTGCGGTCGGTGGGAGGTTGGCGAGGTTCCCCGACTGACGCCTGCCCCGCCCTTCCTTCCCCAGGCTGGTCCTTTCCCGCTTTGAGTTCGAAGGGGTGTCCTCCGGGGAGAGCGCGCTGGAGGCGGGCGAGGACGAGGAGGAGGTGTGGCTGTTCTGGAGGGACAGCAGCAAGGAGACCCGCAGCAAGAGTGTGCGGGAGCTGGCGCAGGACGCCAAGGAGGGCCAGAAGGAGGACCGAGACGTGCTCAGCTACTACCGGTGAGCGCCGGCGCGAGGCGGAGGTGGCCGTCGGCGCTGTTGGTGGTCACTCTGGGCATCACAGGTGCCTCTGGGC